TTTTCAGCCAACGATGGGCTTTCATGTAGAAGCAATCCTATTGGCTATTTAGGTACAGGATTGCATTTACAAGCAGTGGGAGAAGATGACCCCCCTCCCCTGCTGCCTTCCAAGGTCTTCTCAGGCAGTCCGGTGCCATTGGGGGAACCTAAGAATGCAGCCGGTGTTTCTGCCAGCTGACCATAAAACTGATTGGAGACCGGAATGGTGCCAATCATCTACATACAGTATAGTCTAAGAAATCAGAAACTACGAGCATTTCACCACTTCAGTTTTGCAGGATATAAACAGCGCCATTTGTGAATTGGGAAAGCATCTGTTCACACCGATCTTTGTGAGATTAGATAATGTAAGCTCAGAGGGATATCTAGAGTCTGATAGACCCCAGATTTCTCAAAAAAGAATATATGACAATGCCCATTGAAGTTATAGGGGTATTTGTATTCCCTGTGATAGCAATAAAAGTGATAAAAAAAAAAAAAAAAGTGACAGTGTAAAAATAATTTTAAAAAATCAAAATAATTTAAAAAGGTACCCTCGTCCCCTGTGCATGAGCACGCTGTTTACATACTGACCCAGTGCCAGTATGTAAACAGCGGTTGCACCATGCATGTGAGCTATCGCAAGGAACATAAGATCAAGAGCAGTAATTCTAGCACTAGATCTCTCTGTAAATCTAAAATGGTAGCTTGTAAAGTCTTTTAAAGCATTGCCCATGGATATTAAAAATGTATGCAGTTTGTAGCCATTGCATGCTCAGTTTTACAGCATGTCATGTTTGACATCTATTTACTCAGCATAGCATCATATTTTATAAGTTACCAAATAATTGGCCAATATATTGTGTTTTTTTTAAATTAAAAAAAGTTTTTTTTTTTTTTTTTTAAATTGCATTTGAAAAATCGTTGGGTGAGTACTATGTGACACAAAAAATTGCTACACCCACCATTTTATTTACTAGGGAGTCTGCTTTAAAAAATATATTTAATGTTTGAGGGTTCAAAGTAATTTCCTAGCAAAAATACAGCTTTTTTTATGTGAACAAAAAGTGTCAGAAAAGGCTTGGTCTTCAGGTGGTTAGAAGAGTGAGTGATAAACTTCTATTTCTGGGCATAAAATGCCCCCACCCCCAAAAATGACCCCTTTTTGGAAAGTAGACACCCCAAACTATTTGCTGAGAGGCATGTTGAGTCAATAGAAGAATTTATTTTTTTTACCACAAGTTTTTGGAAAATGAAAAAAAAAAAAACATTTTTTTTACACACAATTGTCACTTAAATGATTTATTGCTCACTCATGTCATGGGTATATGTGGAATTACTCCCCAAAATACATTCTGCTACCTATTCTGAGTATGGGGATACCACATGTGAGAGACTTTTTAGCAGTCTAGCCAAGTACAGGACCCCAAAATTCAATAAGCAGCTGCAGGTTTTTAAAGGGCTTTATTTCCTCATTACACTTCCTGACTACCTATCACAGTTTAGGATGCCCTGAAATACCAAAATAGCACCAAACCCCCAAATTACCCCTTTTTGGAAAGTAGAGACCCCAAGGAATTTGATAAGAACGATTATGAGTATTTTGCAGATCTTGTTTGTTGCCACAAGTTTTTGGAAAATGAAGAAAGAAAACAAAAACATATTTTTTGCTTTCTTTCTTTTTTTTTTTTAATTTCAAAACCTTGTGGGAAAAAATGAGATTTGCAAAATACTCGCCATGATTCTTTTTAATTTCCTAGGGGTGTCTATTTTCCAAAAAGGGGTCATTTGGGGGGATGGGGGTGGGGGGAAGTGGGTTTGGTGCTATCCTGACATTTCAGAGCCTCCGAAACTGTGATAGGTAGTGAGGAAGTGAAATGAAGTTACACACCTTCAGTCTTTCAGAGTGTTCATTGGATTTCAGGATCCTGTATGTGGCTAGGCTCCCAAAAAGTCTCACACATGTTGTATCCCCATACTCGGCAGTATGCATTGTGGGGTGTATTTCCACATATACTCATGGCTTTTGTGAGCAATATATATCATTTAAGTGACAACTTTTAATAAAAAAAAAAAATGTTTTCGGCATTTTCAAAAAACTTGTAATAAATCTTCCATGGACTCAATATGCCTCTCAGCAGATAGCTTAGGGTGTCTACTTTCCAAAAAGGGGACATTTGGGGGTGTTTGTACTGTCCTGGTATTTTAGCACCTCAAGAAATGTGATAGGCAGTCAGAAAGCAAAAGCTGTGTAAATTTCATTATTTATACCATAGTTTGTAGATGCTATAACTTTCACACAAAGCAATAAATACACACTTATTGGGATTTTTCTTTTACCAAAAACATGCATCAGAATACATTTTGGCCTAAATTTATGATGAAATTTTAGTTTTTTGGATATTTTTTATGACAGAAATGAGAAAAAATATTATTGCTTTTTTGAAAATTTTCGATCGTTTTTTGTTTATAGCACGAAAAATAAAAGGCACACAGGTGATCAAATACCACAAAAAGAAAGCTCTATTTGTGTGTGAAAATAGGATTTAAATTCCATTTAAGTACAGTATTGCATGACTGTGCAATTGTCAGTTAAACTAGTGCAGTCCTGTATTTCAAAAAATGGCATAAATTACAGTATCTATACCATAGTTTGTGAACATTATAACTTTCACACAAAGCAATCTATATACACTTATTAGGATTTTTTTATATCAAAAACATGTAGCAGAATACATTTTGGCCTAAATTTTTGACTAACTTTGAGTTTTTACTACATATTTTTATAGCCGAAAGTAAAAAAAATATTGTTTTTTCTCAAAATTTTTGGTCTTTTTTTGTTTATAGCATAAAAAATAAAAAGTGGACAGGTGAGCAAATACCACTGAAAGAAAGCTTTATTTGTGTGAAAAAAAGGGACGTAAATTTTGGTTTGGTACAGCATTACATGACCACGCAATTACCAGTTGAAATAGCGCAGTGCCGAATAGCTAAAGAAGGCCTAGTCAGGAAGGGGGGGGTACAACAATAACCTGTGGGAAACAAGCAAAGGATATCTTAAGGTGTCCTAATGTAGAAAAAGTTGAAGTAGAAGTACAGAACTACTAAAATAAAACATTTAAAAGAGATTTTAATGGGAGCACACCAGTTTAAGAGGGGTTTACTCCAACTGCAAAATATTTAGGAAGACAGAGCCATGAGAAGGGATGAAAGTGAGATCAGAAGGAATTCTTTTTAAAAAAATTTTTTTTTATTTTTTTTGGGGGGGACCAGAATAATATGTTATGTATTGTTTTAGTATACTTTTATTGGATGTTGTATGTTTTATATTGAAATATATTTCATACTTTTTTGTGTTATATTTGTGCACTTAAAAAATATTTCAGAAATTAAATATGAAAAAGCTGTGTAAATCTTTTGTAAAAACATGTGTACATAGACTCCTAAGTGCCACAACAATGGTTTGTATTTACTATCTAGAGCTTCCCAAAATTGTAGAGTTGTACTGCAGGAAGTTGCAGTGACATCACTCTGTCTCATGCTTAGGGTCAGAGCACAGTCTACTGGGGCAATGGTTGCTACCCATAATGTAATGCTCTTTGCCACAACCTCCTACCAGAAGTATACTTCCCAACCACGTGCAATGGTTACTTCGTATTTTTGGCTGTATCTCCAACCAAGGATGGTTGTAATGGGGGAGAATGAACTCACTTTATAAGGTGTAAATCCCCATGGATGGATTTTATACCCAAGACTAATTACTAACAACAATATAATTCCAACCTCTTGCCATCTTTATTTATTTGTTTATTTATTTATTTCAGGTACTTATATAGCGCTGTCCATTTACGCAGCGCTTTACATATATATTGTATATTCACATCAGTCCCTTACCCTCAAGGGGTGTACAATCTAAGGTCCCTAACTTTCATCATACATACACATATTAGGGCCATTTTAGACAGGATCCAATTAACCTACCAGCATGTCTTTGGAGTGTGGGAGGAAATCAGAGTACCTGGAGGAAACTCACGCAGGCACAGGGAGAACATGCAAACTCCAGGCAGGTGGTGCCCTGGTTGGGAATCAAACCTACGACGCTAGTACTGCCAGGCTGAAGTGCTAACCATCCTTTTAAAACTGCTGTCATTATAGTTCTGGCATTGTTAAAGAACATTTTCCATCTGGAGTGTATTCGTAAACATTCTGTTGATAACTTCCCTATAAAAATCTACCCTAACCTTTCCATGAAACCAGGGAACAATTCAGTTTCACTTGCAATTAGTTGTACTAGTAACGATAGATAAACAAATCCATAGGGCAGACTTGCTTTTAACCTGTACTCATATTTTTGTACAGTACCTTTAATACAGCAAAAGCCATGAAGCCGGTCTAAGTTACTGACTTAGATAGATAGAAATTGGCCTTCCGTGTTGCTTTTTTTCCTTCTAACATGGACAATGCCTTTAAAGAATGAAATATTATGCTTCCATTGTGCACTCTAAAAAATCATCATTTTAAAAGTAGCATTGACAGAAAGAATTTAATTCACAGTTAGGCACTGATATACTGTGATGTCTACAAGTCTGGTGTTAGATGATTCAGAAGAAAAAAGTTCAGTGCTTGATCAGTATTCTAAGCTTTGCGTCTGCAAGACCAGCCAACAAATTCCAGACACTGTTTCTAAACATATTTGGCACTTGCCATTAAGACACATATTGAAGATAAAATCAGCCTGTGCTCTGAAGACAGAGATGGAATCTCACATTGTTTGAATTGCATGTTTGAAATATTATGCTGCGTAAATGTCTCGCCATGCTCTTAATACTGACAGTCTTTATGGAAAAGAGAACAGTTTGGTCCTTGACAAAGATAAGAGTAATACTAAATTAGCTCTGTGTTTTCTCTGTTTATTATTTTGGAAATCATCTCTTGCTATCCTTTTTCAGCAAGGGTACAATAGCAATACCACATACTGCATGAGTGATAATTATTCCACAGCAGAGTTGATATGGTAAGCTGAGTGCTGATTTTGTATTATTTGTAAGTGGCTAAATGTTTGGTAGTGCAGGTGAAGTTCTAGGAAAGATACTTAAGAGATACTGGTGTCTCATAGATAGGTCTATACAGCTTGCTAGGTCAGAAGATCCTCTAGTGCAGCCTTTTTCAACCAGCCTTTTTCTCTGGTCACCACCTGTACCATGTCTGCAGTCTCTGGTCATCTCCTGTACCGCATCCGCAGTCTCTGGTCATCCCCTGTACTGTGTCTACAGTCTCTGGTCATCCCCTGTAATGTGTCCACAGTCTCTGGTCATCTCCTGTAGTATGTCCGCCTCTCTGGTCATCTCCTGTACTGTGTTCGCAATCTCTGGTCATCTCCTGTACTATGTCTGCAGTCTCGGGTCATCCCCTGTACTATGTCCGCAGTCTCTGGTCATCTCCTGTACTATGTCTGCAGTCTCGGGTCATCCCCTGTACTATGTCCGCAGTCTCTGGTCATCTCCTGTACTATGTCCCTGGTCATCTCCTGGTTCAATCTCTGGTCATCTCCTGTACTGTGTCCGCAGTCTCTGGTCATCCCCTGTACTATGTCCGCAGTCTCTGGTCATCTCCTGTACTATGTCCGCAGTCTCTGGTCATCTCCTGTACTATGTCCGCAGTCTCTGGTCATCCCCTGTACTGTGTCTGCAGTCTCTGGTCATCTCCTGTAATATGTCCGCAGTCTCTGGTCATCTCCTGTATTGTGTTCGCAATCTCTGGTCATTTTCTGTACTGTGTCTGCAGTCGCTGGTCATCTCCTGTACTATGTATGCAGTCCATGGGTTCAGAATATTTTTTTTCTTGTTTTCCTCCTCTAAAAGCTAGGTGCGTCTTCTGGTCAGGTGTGTCTTATGGAGCGAAAAATACGGTACATCTGTGCAACTTCATGCACAGATGTCTATGCAAGTTGCACCCCAAATCTGCAAAAGTAATGCAGGAACTACTTTCTAATCAGTGCGACTCCGATGAAGGCGGAGTCATACCAATTAGAACATTTCAATTGCATGCAAGTTGTCATGTGATTTAAACGGTCGAATCGCATGACGATTCGCATCAGTGTGAACCAGGGCTAAATCACCTCTAACATTGGGTGTCCTATGTGTGTGGATGTTCCTGCATTATGGAAAACTATTAGTTTTGTTTTTTACATTTTAGAATGGGGTGCCTCGAAAGTTGTGCAGAATTTTTAAGGGTGCCTTGACTGAAAAAAGGTTGAGAAAACACTGCTCTAGTGGGATTCCCCATAAACTACTTAAAGTGGACCTAACTCAAAAAGTGAACATTTGCTATGTAATAGAGGACATTTAGCAACATTAATTGTACCAAAGCAGTTCCCTGAAAAATGTACCAGCTGAAAGGACTCCACAGGCAGCAATACTGATGACCGTCATTTTCCCCTCTGTCTGTTTTTTTTTTTTTTTTGGTACAGCTTTCAGAGTTCTGATTCTTTCAGAGTTCTGATTCAGACTTCTAAAAGCCTCATTCAGAATCATTATATAAAGTGTTACTAATGATGATATATTAGCTTTCAATGCTACAAGCTCAGCTATTTTTCTGCACCAGCAGTGAGAAGCTAGATGTGAAACTGCAAGAAGTTAGCTGGATCCCTGGACAGGTGTGTGTCCTTTTATTAAAAGTCAGGAGTTGCCCTATCTCATTTCTTGAGGTGCAAAAATGCTACAACAATACAAATACCCCCCAAGCGATCTCTTTTTGGAAAGAAGACAGCCCAAGTTATTTAGTAAGTGACATAGTGAGGTTTGTTTTTACGTTATATTATGCCACGTTTTGGAAATTTTCTCACACATAGCCTAGGCATACTTATCATTACACCCCAAAACACATTCTGCTATGCCTCCTAAGTATGGGAATGCCACGTGTGTAATACTTTTTCACAGCCCAGCTACCTAAAGGAGCCCAAAATCCAAGGAGCACCTTTAGGCATTTTAGGAGCATAAATTACACATTTAATTTCATTACTACCTATTGCATTTTGGAGGCTCTGAAGCACCAGAACAGTAGAAACAACCCAAAAATGACCCCATTTGGAAAGCAAACATTCCAAGCTATTTTCTGAGAAGCATAGTGAGACTTTTTAATAATGCTATTTTTACCACAAGTTTTTAGAAAATGCAGGAAAGGAATTGAAAATGTATTTTTGTTAATTAATATGAAATTTCTAACATACATCATAGGTACACTTAGAATTACCACACCAAGACATATTCTGCTACTCCTCGTAAGTATGGGGATACCACATGTGTGAGAGTTTTTCACAGTCTAGTCAGAGAGGCCACCTTTAGGCTATCTATGGGCATAACGCATATGCATCTAATAATGATCAGGGACACTGTAGCTCGTGTGACAGTGATCAAGGATACTGTAACTGGTGTGGCTGTGATTAGGAGACAGGATTGAAAAGAGGTGAATGAGTCTGCTGTGGATGCTGGCTGCTTTCATATGAACGTGTGTTGTAGCAACACAACATAAATGCAACTTAATTTATATATTTAACATCGGTATATATGGGGATCATTATACCTTTTGTCTATTTATGGGAGACATCTGAGCATCATGAGATAAGAGTGGAGGAACGGTATTGACCTGAGTGTTGGTATTATTCCCTTTTCCAATGACCCCCATTGCTGATAAGTGACGCTATCCTCAACAAGTTACATATGACTTCCTGTAATTTAAGAGGTCTGTGAATGAGGATAGGCATCCAGCTTTATACACATGGGTGAGAAAGGTGGAAGACAAAGCAAGGTGGTGATTGTTATTGTGAAGATGTTCATTCCACAGTATATGACACATTTTTGCACATTTGTTTTTGGCAGTGACTTTTTTTGCACACATTGGTATATATGGACTACACCATATGCACTGTTCTTTTCAATACGTCTTCCAGATAGTTTTTTGGTATATTAGAGTTTTTCTACAGCATATGACATTCCACAGTATAAGATACATTTTTGTACATTTGTTTTGGCAGGGATTTGTAATGCACAGATTGGGGAGAGACCTGCGTGTAACAACAACAACACAGGTCTCTCTCCTGTCAGCATGAACATGCTACTTTGTATCCCTCTGCACAGATACAAAGCAGCATGTCTCCAAGGTAAAACACAGCATACAGTAAAACACACACAGCACACAGTTAACCCTTTGATAAAAAAAAAAAATATGATGATCGCCGCCATTACTAGTATACAAAAAAAAAAAATTCCAGTAAATATACCACCATTTGTAGATGCTATAACTGTCACGTAAACCAATTATTGTACATGTATTGGGATTTTTTTTTAGCAAAAACATGTAATAGAATACATTTTGGTCTAAATTTATGAAGAAATTGGATTTTTTAAAATTTTTTTATTGGATATATTTTTATAGCAAAAAGTCAAAAAAATTGTTGTTTTCAAATTGTCAGTAATTTTTTTGTTTATAGCGCAATATCAAATATCACTGAAAGAAATCTCTATTTGTGGAAAAAAAATGACATAAATTTAATTTATGTACAGCGTTGTATGACCGCGCAATTATCAGTTAAAGTAATGCAGCACTGTATTGCAAAAAATGGCCTGGTCAGGAAGGGGGGGGGGGGGGGGGGGGTAAATCCTCTGGAGGGCAAATGATTAATACAAAAATGGTTTTAATAAAAAAAAAATGTGACATATAGCTCTACCCTTTCTATTTTATTTTATTTTCCTTCCCATAGGCCAACAAATTCTTGAAATATCTTGGGAAACTACTCACTGATGGCTTGGATCATCTGTATTCTAAGAACTATGATCCCTTGCTTTGAACCATGCATAGAGACACTCAAACATGGAATAAACATGGAATAATCTTTCACCTGGAGAGCTTTTCACAAATAAAATAAAAAAAAGAACATTACTATTATAATAGAAATGTGTTGCAGCAGTGAGATGGGAACTTTCCACCTTGCTCCCAGAACAAAAGCGAGTCAAGTTAGTGGCCATTTGAAGGGAGCTTTGTATTCTATGAATGAATAAAAAACTTTCGGTGGCATGTCCAAGATGGTGACCGCGTGACCGCGTGACCGCGTGACCGCGGCCGCGTAATCTGGAGCTCCATCTTCCACCCGGCTAATTCGCTGCATCCAGGTGGCAGCGGACTGAGAGAGAGCTGCCCGGAGGTCCCGCTGTCCCTGCTGGCACTTGGTAGGGAGGGCACTTGGTAGGGAGGCCGGGCTAATGAGGCCTCGTCTGACGCTGGGCTCGTGCCCATCCGGAGGCCACGTGAGTGCGGTTTGCAGTGGGAGGGGGTGTTTGGATGTAATTGTGCCCCCACCCGAACCAGAGGGACCACCTACCCTACCCAGTCCATCGGCCCCCCTCACCCGTACCCAGGGAACTGCGGCCTCTGAGAAAAGCCTTAAGGAGATCCCAGCACAGTGAGTGACATCACGGCCCCCACTGGGCCTGTACCCATATTGGGCCCTGCAGACAGCCACCTGGGGGATACAGAGGTGCTCTGTGCACCCCGCCTGACAGACTCTGGAACCAGCACCCTAGGGAGCCCATAGCTTCCCTCCTCTTCAACCCCTGTGCCTGCTTGCCTGCCTCCCTACATAGTCTGAGGCCCCTGAGGCTTTTGGAAGATTTTTAAAAGTTTATATTTGTTGGGGGGCATGGCTTAAGCCCAGAGAAGATGACAGCTTAGTTCCTGGAGCCATGACACACGGAGGTAGGAACGTGTAATCATAACAGGGAGAGATACCGCTGAGATGGGGAAAACAGATAGGAGACCCACCACCCCACACTCAAGATCTCCTCACCAGAAAGGCGGTCCGGCCAACCATAGCATTCCAGATATTTATTCCGATCCCAGACCCCAGAACACGTTGAGGCCTCCCATTCGGTACATAAAGCGCCTCACGCGCGAAGCAAGAGTCCAGGCGCAGCACCCACAGCCTACCATTCTGAAGCTTCCCCTCTTACTATAGGGGTTCTGAAATCAGTAGCATCAGATATTAAAGAGACCCTCTCTGCAGCAATCGCTGAGTTACGTATCGATACGCAGGCAGTGGCTAAAAGGCTTGAAGCAGTGGAGAATAAAGTTATAATGCAAGACCTTGCCATCCTTGATATGCACAACCTGGTAGATATGCACACTATGCATCTCAGAGAGCTTGATCGTCACATGGAGGACCTAGACAACAGGGGAAGACGACGACATAATTTAAGGGCACGCAGTGTCCCTGAAACTATTGAATTGGGCCAACTCTCTCAAACACTTTTAGCCATCTTTAATGATCTTTTGGAAAGACCACAGGAGTCTCCTATTGAGATCGAACGCCTCCATAGGGCTCTGCGTCCTAGAGGTAGAGATACTGATCCCCCAAGAGATATAATTTGTTGCCTAGTCGACTTCCGACTTAAGGAGGAAATATTGCGCAGAGCACAAGATCGAAACCGTGTTATAAACAATGGAACAGAAATCAAATTATTCCAAGATCTCTTCCATCTCACCTTACAGCGCAGAAAGGATTTACGCCCTTTACTGGATCTGTTACATTCCACAGGTATAGCATACCACTGGAGATTCCCGTTTGGCCTCTCAGCAACACAAATGGGGCGATCTGCTCTCCTGAGATTCCCGGAAGACATCGC